CACACACACACACACACACACACACACACACACACACACACACACACACACACACACAGCAGTATATAACAGTACCTGAAAAGAGCTGTAAACACCTTTGAGTCATAATTAAATTATTTGCATAATAATGAGATTAATGAAGGATTCGAGGAGTTTTTATTGTCATTCCAAATGAGTGCATGAGGAGCGACAGATAGATGCTGAAGCCCCAGTTGTCAGCAATTGAAAAAAACACAATAAGCAATAAGAGGATAAACAGGATTATATTAAATAAAACATGTACATATTATGTTGCACATGGAGTATATTGCATTAAATAACACTGAACTCGGCCCTTTTAAATTGAAGCTTAAGATCTTTTTATTCCAACAGGCTTTTAGTACTTAAATATGTGGTGACATTTCTGGTTTTAGTTTTGCTATTTTGTTGTGTTTTCTTGTTTTTAACTTATCATGTTAATCACTGACTTTGTGAAGCACTTTGGTCACCAGCACTGTGGTTGTGTAAAGCGCTATAGAAATAAATAAATGAAATGAGCATACACATTCAGCCATAGTAAAGTAATGGTTTCTGAAATTAAAAAAAGATAACTCACAAAAATATCTTGAGATTAATCATGACAAAAAACATTGGGCCTCATGCAAGAACCGTTCGTACGCACAGATTTGTTCTTAAGTTGTGCGTACGAATGATTTAGGAGAATTTGTGGCATTAACCAATGTTTTCGTATTCTAAGATTTTTTTTCAGAAACGAACAAAATTCACGAGTGGTCCAGACCTGTCGTATATTTTACGAGCAGTCAGTCTGCTGTTATCCAGATGGGTTTTCCTCCCTAATAACTTTATACTTCGTTAGTTAGAAGATATTTGGAGTTGAAAGTAAATCACACTCTATAATTATGTTGACAATAGGCTTTTCTGTTTGAATTATAATTATAATTTTAAATGTAATAATGTAGACTAACGACATAAAATGGTTAAATTAAATTATACTGGCTATTAATTTTGTTGTATAGCACTACAATATTAATATGAAGTTAATTGAAGTTTGGAGACATTTTAAAATGTTTTTTTTTTTTTTCAGAAATGCATCCGACTATGCGACCGCTCCTTCTGAATAAATGAAAAGGCTAACACAGTTGTTTACACTTGAATTAAAAACTATTTGACAAAAGGAAAACCAGAGCAGGACTAGAGAGAGATAAATATGATTTAGATTTTTATTTCTGTGACTGTAACGACCCACAGGAAACACGGCATTAACAGCACATTTCATTCCTTTAAGCAGCTCCTTTACTTCCACAGCTGAGCTGCTAAAAATGACAGATTTTCTTTTCTGGATCTCTGACAGCAGGACTTCAATCTCTGAACTCGTAAAGTTTTTCTTTTTACTTTTCGCTGTCATTTTCATGAATGGGCACTTCCTGATATGTGAGACAAAAAACATAGCCTTATATGGTGTTTTTGGGGTGGTAATTATGTAAACGAACCCTTCGTACGAACAAAAGTAAGAGAAATTTAGGATAAGAATATGAACATGTTCTTCCAGTGAATCTATGCCCAGCACTAGTTTTAACCTAATCGACCCTGACATGCTGAGAAACTTAAAGTTGAAATAGTTTGTAACTCAGTTTGGCTTTTCTGTTTCCCCAGTTTCAACCGGATTGACATTCCTCCCTACGAGAGCTACGAGAAACTGTACGACAAGCTACTGACAGCGATCGAGGAGACGTGTGGCTTTGCAGTGGAATGAGAGCCGAGCTGAAGAACCTTCATGTTAACGTGCGCAGGGCTCCTCCCATAAACTATTAACATCATCACAACAAGCCGCTTAGATCTCCCCGAGCGTCCTGCTGTCGCTCTTCTCCCACTTTTCTTTTATCTGAACAGCTGCTAGAGTCATCCCATTAACGCTGTTTCATTTGAACACGTTTGCTTTGTTATTGTGAGGTGTGTTTGGCTTTCAGACAACACAATAAACATATGTTCAAGTTTAATTAGGAAACCTCAAACTATTTTATTAACCCTTAGACACTCGACAACAATGATTGACCTTTTCTCTAATTTATTCTGGTCAGGCTACAGAACCGAACCCTGCAGGTAGCTGCACCTTTCCCTCAGAAGCCATCTTAACCTCAGTCACAATCTCTTCCAGCCATTCGCCTACAGAGTTCACAGTTTTAGGGGCAGTTTTAATTCATCCTACCTCAGTGTAATCTTTTTGATATTTTAAAGTTTTCACTTTAACGTTTCATCTTTAAAGTGGCGCTTTATCTCAGATTTAGAAGAAAATAAGTTTCTACAGCAGTGGTTCATAAATAATTTGCTCACACCAGCAGTCGTTTTGTACTTTTTCAAACCGTATCATTTAAAAAGTAAAACCATATCATCTTAGAGGACATTTTATTGGCAGCTTTTTTTTTTTTTTTTTTTGGTGGGTAATTGTACGGAAAGCTTCTTTCTTTGAATAGTGTGGCTCATCTTTTCTAAGTGAACATGTCTGAGTATAAAAGTACATAAACACAGCACAGAAAAGTAAGAAAATGTGTGTTTGACAGTTTCTTTGTTGTTCTTCATGACTGAAGACACTTTTCTGACGAACTGGGCCACAGATTTTAGACAGCCTGTTTGTTTTCTTTACACTGCGCCACATTTGTCAAGAAAATGTGGCGCAGTGTCTCCTCCAAACATCTCATTCTGCTTTTGACTCTTGTGTTGAGCTTCTGGTACGAATTAGACCTGATATTCAGCACCTGTGGCAATCCCATGTCCCCCATAGACCCGACAGAGTCGGGTCTATGGGGGACATGGGATTGTCACAGGTGGGGGATCAGCGTGAGCGTGGAGGAAGAACCAAGCTGTTGTGGCTGTATATGGTTCTTCCACATGCTACTGAGGCTTCTGTTACTTTTAAAGAATAAATTGTTAAATTTCCAACAAGTTTCTTCAGACTTCAACTGTTTAATCTAATGACATCAAACAAGAGTCAATAGCAGAGTGAGATGTTTGTTTTTCACAAAGATTTGGCTTTTTTTTTACGAGTGCAACACACATACTCAGCCTGCAGATGTGCCTTGCAGTACCATTTAAAAGGAAATGAACTACACTGTAAAAAGATTTACCCAGCAGATTAATCTACTTGAGTCAGAATCTTCTCAAATTAAGTGAAATAATCTCTGTTAATCACTTAATTTGAGTCTTTTGCTTAGTATTTGTGACCCATCCTATCGAAATGAGGATTAAAGTGCCTGTGACATGCGTATTCTTCAAATACAAAAAGTCAAAGAAAATATCTTTATATTTAAGAAAGTTGGAATATTACACATGATTTTACCCATTTTGTCCCGTAACTGGAATATTTTCTTTTGAACTTGGCTCAGCCGAAGTGAAACAGGAAGTGACATCAAAGAGGAACTCTTTAACAAAGAAAACTTCCAGGTCTTTGTTTATTGAAACATTATTATTTGAACTCTGACTCATCTTCATCTCTCTGATAGAGACTCAAAATAATCTAAAGAATTATCAGATTCTTCTCTACAGTCTGGGTTGTTGGCTGTTGTAGCAACGCTCTGTTTACATGCAGGTATTCCCCTATGACATCACTTCCTGTTACTTTACAGGCAAATATCTCAACAACTGTTCATGTCAGCGAGATCAAATTTCTTTTGCAGTATTTTGTCAATGACATATTTTCGAAAATGCATTCATATATTTTACAAACATTTGACATCGCAGGCCCTTTAAGTCAAATTTGGTCAAAATGACCTAATTACATTTTCAGATTTCTGGCTTTAAAAGCTACATTTTGATACCTGGATCATTCTAATATAAGTGGATCCAGAGATATGCCTTAATTTGTCTTGTTGGTTACAAAAATACTTGGTCTGAATCCTTATTTTATGTAACTTTAATGAGGAACTTTTGATATCCTTATAAAGAGGAAACCAAATTATTTGAATATTGAGATTTTCCAGCTGGAGTGAAACAAAACATTTCTAACTCACAGGGAAAATCTCAAAATTTTAAGGCGTTTTTACTCCAAATGAGTATTTTTGTTGCTACTGCTAATAAAAAATGCTTCAAAATTTTGTTTTATGATTATATTTCACGGTTCATTCAAATGATACATTGATAAGGCATTAATTCATTATGTTTTGACAAAATGCACTTTTTGCAAATGTTTTAATCAAAACTATATTTGCCTATTTCTCCATAAACCACTTTTAGACTAACCCCCAATAATCCTCATTTCAATGGGATGGGTCACATAGTCTCAAAACAAGACCAGATATAAGATTATAAGACTTGGTTAGATGGATCATTTTTGCAGTGTTTATAAAATGTATTAAAAAATAATAGAACAAAACAATCAAACATAAACATACTTTTTGTGCTACGTTTAAATTGTCGTTTCTATTCACCTACACCATTCTATTTAATTTATTTTTTGTTTCTCACTGCAGAGATGAACAAATCGTAGACTTTTTCTTTCCGTTTTAACCCCCGTGTTTCCAGCAGTTCTTCTGCTCATTAATCCACCACAGTTATCAGATTAGCAGTTCTGCTCATTAATCCACCAGTTATCAGATTATAAATGCGAAGGGAAGTTCAGTTAGAACCTTTTTCTACAATTTTCTTTCTCTCGTTTCTTCTGAGCACTTTACAAACCGAGCAGTGATGAGTGCTTTCTTCATGTTGGACTAAAATATACTGTGCTTCTTTTGTGTGCAACAACAGTAGTAATACTCAGACAAAAAAAATATCTATAGGTCTGTAATTTTTGAGTATATATGTACAAAGATATAGCTATTTTGTATATTGTTGCTTGTTCTTTTTGGTTTAAATGCAAGCATGTTGATGTCTTTTCACAGACCTCTTTGCATTCTCAGGTGAAGTTGTCTTTTTTTTCTGTGCGTTTTTAGTTTTGTATTTTTTAAATCACACATCATGCTAGTATGTGAAGAACCCTCCCTTTCCAAATCTTCCTTGTAGGCAAACATTATGCAAATATTTGCTGCTATGCAGGTCTGTTGTCACCACTGAACGACTTACTTTTATGCTCAGAAGTTTCTAAATTAAGTTTTAGAAATGAGAAAAATCCAATGCAGGAGGTTGACTGTAGCTCCACAACAACCAAAATACCATGTCACTAAAAAAAGACCTAACAGAACATGATCAAATACTCCTAGAAAATATTTTGATTAGAAAAATCTTCTTTTTTTTTGACACATACCATTTGCATTTATTCACAAACGTGAAATGTTTGCAAATTCATATCAGATTTGATTTTGTTCAGATCATTTGGTGAAAACCAGTAAGGTTAGGGTGGTCTTTGTACAGCTTTAGAGTTGTTTTTTTTACTTTTAATATTATCTCAAAAATCAAAAAAGAGCATACATCAAATGTCTGCTTAAACTTAAAATCCAACACTTCCTTCGGTGCACCAAAAACTTATAAGGTGACTTTTTATAATGTTTATTCCATTTTTCTGTGCTTTGTTCTGAACACAAAGTCCACGTCTGCAGGTTGTTGTCTTGTTTTCTGGCCCGATCCACTCATTGAAACATCCGGGTGAAGAAAAAATCAGAACTTTCCATAAATCTGTTTTCTTTTCTAAAAAAACATCTGCAAATAAAAAGTCCTCTCTGATCTGATAAAAACTGCAAAAGCTGACAGTTCACCAGGTTAAAGCCAATCAGGTGTTGAAAGTTCAGTGAACTCAGTCCTCCATAGTTCCCCCCAAAAACAAAGAGCTGCATGTTTTCTTTTTCCTCTGTGGACCCTGCAGGGCTTTATCTTTGTTTGTTGCTTTTGATGAAGTTTAGTGCGAAGCATAATATCTTATTTCTTTTTTTAAGGCATCATATTCCCTTTCATTTTTTTCTGTTTTGTATTTATTTCAGTACATGTGTTCATAGTTTCCACATTAGCTGCTCTGTGAGTTTGTAACTTACACTTGTACATACGAACAGTAAAAAAAAAAAAAAAAAAAGTGCAAAGTAAGAATCTTCTTGTACCCTTACAGAACACTGAGCAATAAAAACATGCTGTTTGGACGGGACAGCATTATGTTTTATAGAACACGCAGTAGTGTTTTTATTTATTTATTTTAGCTGCTGCAGCTTCAAATAGGAGATTTTTGTTTCATTTGGTATTTAATTGCATGTTTTCACTCATCTTACTTCCAATACACAGTTATTCGTTATTTTGACCCAAGCACATTGTTACAGTCTTCATTGGAAACTATAATGATGAAATTTTGTGTCTGTACAAAAATAGCTCTTGAACCATTGCATAGACTTTAATGAAACTTCCAGAAAGTAATGTTTTGAACAGAACTGTTTTGGAGTCGACCCGATTCAAGATGGCTGCCACAGCTAAGGACTTGAGCAATCACAAAAAGTCATTCTTTTCAGAAAAACTAAACTAAAATTTGATGTGTTATTAGCAGAGACTCATCCCCTATTACACGCTCTGAGCACACTGATAGATTTGCCTTTGATTGTTGGATCAAATTTTGTCTGTTAGCAAAATATGTGTCAAACCTTTGATTTTACTGCTCAGGAAGCAACAGTGTTGTATAAAGTACCTCAAAGTGATACTTGAGTAAAAGTACAAGTATCTTATAAAAATACTTTAGTAAAAGTTAGTCTTCTCTAAAAATATTACTTGAGTAAAAGTCTTAAAGTATCTGATTTTTTTTGTACTTGAGTATCAAAAGTAAATTTCTGACACGAAATCTACATAAGTATTAAAAGTAAAAGTACTGCGTAAAAGTGAGCAGTTATATTTTCTAAAATGACATTTATTGGGAGGTGACATCTCCAAAAAATATATTTTCTAACAGCGTGCAGCTGTGATGTAGCAAATAGTGTGTCAGAATGGTATATATTTATACATCTCATCCAACCACAATTAAATTCACTCTATCCAGGAGACGCACTTTATCAGGATAGTATTTTTAATTAATAACAACTACTAATAAAATAGGAGTAATGACTTTCTACTTCTTACCTTTTTAAAAAATGTAGTGAGTAGAAAGTACAGATAATTGTGTAAAAATGTAATGAGTAAAAAGTATGCTGAAAAATAATTACTCAAAGTACAGATACCCAAAAATTCTACTTAAGTACAGTAACAAAGTATTTGTACTTAGTTACTTTACAACTCTGGGAAACAAATACACGGTCTGGCCAAAATAATAATAATAAGTTGCCACCGGAGCTAATGGGTCTTATAGGATAATTACTGCCTGGGTGATTATTTTTCAGCTGGCAACAAGTTATTTAACCCCAACTGGTGCAATGAGTTGCCTCTCATTTCTTAACCACTGTTGTGGAAAAGATGTCAGACTGTTTGAGAAGTGTCAAATCATTGGCATCAAATAGAGAAAACAGATTGCAGAAACTACAATAAAGTCCTGAATGATCGGTGATCACTGAAACGTTAGGTGATATACTGAAGAAAAACAACAGTAGAACTCTGTGCTGTGTTGAATAGTGAAAATAAGAACATTTCCAAAGGATTGAGACTGAACAGCTGTGTAGCCTTAAGAAAACCACTAATCAGTGAGGCAAACCAGACAAAAAGGCTTCCTATTGCTAGGGAACATAAAGATTGGACTCTGGAGCAATGGAAGATGTGGTCTGCTGAGTCCAGATGTAGCCTGGTCCAGAGTGATGGGTGCATCAGAAGAGAGGCAGCTGAAGTGATGCAGACATCATACTGTAGAAGCCTGTGGGGCAGTGCTGTGATGTGGGGCAGCTGCAGTTGGTCAGGTTTGGTTCAGCAACAGTCTGTGCTCAAAGAATGAGGTCAGCTGACCTGAATATACTGAATGACCAKGTTCTTCCATCAATGACTGTTTCTTCCCTGATGGCACGGCCATCAAGATGACAGTACCAGGATTCATGGGGCTGGAACTGTGGAAGAGTGGTTCAGGGAGCATGAGACATCATTTTCACACATGGATTGGCTCCACTGAGAATCTTTGGGATGTGCTGGAGAAGATCAGACTCTACCATCATCACTGCAAGATCTTGGTGAAAAATAAATGCAACACTGGGTGGAAATAAATCTTGACTTGCAGAAGCTTATCCAAACAACGCCACAGAGAATGTGTGCTGTAATCAAAGCTAAAGGTCCAATTAAATATTAGTGTGACCTTTTTTTCTTTTTTTGGCCAGGCAGTGTAATTAATGTACAGCTAAAACTTATTTCTTATTCTTTGATGTAACTTTCAATTTGCTGTTTCTTGCTCTGAACAAGAATCATACATGGTTATGCTGCACTCTAATGGTTGGGGGTATCAACATTAAAAGAAAGAAAATCGATAAAACATTGTTTTTGAAAAAAATATCGATCTTTAGATTTTTATTCACAGCCCTAGTCCTGCAGCCATAAAAGCGAGCAGAATTGAACCAGAGATGATTCCCACTCGTCCTGAAAAGTTTCAAGATCCAGCAGATCATGTTTTATTAGACGAAGCAAAAGCAGGATGTGGAGAAGTCTTCATATCCAGAGGAGGTTTCAGACAGACCAAATGTTGAACAGGTATGTTATTAATGGTGGCCTTTTTGATAAATAAAGGGTTCAAAAGCAAGGCAAAATTTAACTATTTTGACTTTAAAACTTATTGTTCGATTGCTGTTTAATTAAGATGTTTATTTTATTATAAAAATCATTCATGATAAAAGTAATGCATCGTTCATAAATGACTACAGCATCATTTGTAATAAAATGGAAAAAAAAAGTCGTGTTTTTGTTGCCAACAATTTCAACTTGCTTGTTTTTGACATTTGATAGGCTTCACACAATCCCTGAGCACAGGTACTGAACAGGTGGCATGACAGGAACCATCGACCCCCGGCTGTAAACTGAGCCAGAGGACGAACAATGGAGTCTGAGAGTCCTGGTCGAAAGCAAAATTTTCTCTCCTCTTCTGAGAAGGAGCGTTGACTAAAAGCTGTGAGGATGGGTCGACAGAAGCAGAGTTACAGCGAGTAAAATAAGTATTGAACACGTCACCATTTTTCTCAGTGAATATATTACTAGAGGTGCTAATGACATGAAATTTTCACCAGATGTCGGTAACAACCCAAGTGATCCATACATACAAAGAAATCAAACCATAAATGTCCAGAAATTAAGTTATTTGTAATAATGTGGAATGGCACAGGGAAAAGTATTGAACACATGAAGAAAGGGAGGTGTAAAAAGGCATGGAAAGCCAAGACACCAGCTGAACTCTCTCAGTAATTAGAAACCAAGTCTGCCCCTTGTCAGTGCAAATTAATATCAGCTGGTTCAGTCCCAAATGATGGCCAGGTGTCACACAAGAACCATCTGATGATGGGTAAAAGTAAAGAGCTCTCTCACGACCTTCACAACCTTATTGTTGCAAAGCATAATGATGGCATCGGTTACAGAAGAATGTCTAAACTTCTGAAGGTTCCAGTGAGCACTGTTGGGGCCATAATTCAGAAGTGGAAAGAACATTATTTCACCATAAACCGACCACGACCAGGTGCTCCTCACAAGATTTCTGACAGAGGAGTGAAAAGAATTATCAGAAGAGTTGTCCAAGAGCCAAGGACCACTTGTGGAGAGCTTCAGAAAGACCTGGAATTAGCAGGTACGTTTGTTTCAAAGAAAACAATAAGTAATGCACTGAACCACCATGGCCTGTATGCACGCTCACCACGCAAGACTCCACTGCTGAAGAAACAGCATGTTGAAGCTCCTTTAAAGTTTGCTGCACAACATTTAGACAAGCCTGTGAAATACTGGGAGAATATAGTCTGGTCAGATGAGACCAACATTGAACTGTTTGGATGCCAGAATACACATAATGTTTGGAGGTCAAATGGCACTGCACATCAGCCCAAAAACACCATACCAACAGTGAAGTTTGGAGGTGGGAACATCATGGTGTGGGGCTGTTTTTCAGCATATGGTACTGGCAAACTTCAAATAATTGAAGGAAGGATGAGTGGAAAAATGTACAGAGACATTCTTGATAAAAATCTGCTTCCATCTACCAGGATGATGAAGATGAAACGTGGCTGGACATTTCAGCAAGACAATGAGCCCAAACACAAAGCCAAGGAAACTCTCAGTTGGTTTCAGAGAAAGAAACTAAAGCTGCTGGAATGGCCCAGCCAATCACCTGACCTGAATCCAACAGAAAATCTATACTTTTTATTTTTAAAAATCTAAGTAAATCTGAAACAACAGGAGGGAAAGACAAAAAAAGATTTTATAAAGTTGTACAAAGTCAAAACATGTAACAGTTTTATATGTAATAAGCATTGAAAAAGGAAAATATCTAAATGTGGAGTAGTTTTTGTTTTTAGAAAAACTGCATTATGACAGGCCTGACTGGAGTAAAAATAAAAGTAAAAAAGTAAAATAAAAAAAACCTCAGTGTTTACAAGCAGATGATGTCAAATACAAATAAGCTGTAAAGGGATAAACTCTTAATGAGGGGATTTCCATCGCTGATTATTGGATTAATTATAAACAAGACAATGAATATTTGCTGTTTTCTGTATTATCATTATTAATACTCAAAGTTGAACTAACACAAAGCCTTCGTTGTTTATTGATGCAGAAACTGCATCATTTTGAGAGCTGTCATAGCTTTAATGGACAGATAAATTATTTATTTTTAGCTTTTAGTTAAACATTTAAAATCTTTAAAAAAAAAAACAGGTCTATCAGAAAAATACACCACTTACAAATGCCCCACAAATGTGCAAATAAGTATGATTTTGGTTTAGAAAAAAATCAGGCTACCGCTAGAGGGCGCTCAAGCTCGCCTGACTGTAAAAATGTGCTAAAATGAAAGAAGAAGAAGAAGAAAAATGTTTGACGAGAACCAATAATAGATGAGGTACGCACTCAATGTAAACAAAGCACCGGTCTGTCAACATATGGTTTTAGTCAAAGAGGTAAATATACCTCGTTGGTTTTAGTATTTTAATACACGTCGACGACCTGAATCCACCGAAAACCCGAGTTATACGCGACTGACCCACAGGAAGTCCTCCAAGTAAACAAACATGGCGGAGTCGGCCAGGCGAGTCAGGGAGAAGACGTTCAGGTGGAAATACAAAAGTGAATCCGACGCTAAACGCGCAAGGAAAGAGAAAGAACGACTCAGACAGCTGTCGAGGATAAATATCGGGAATCAAGCGGGGCGGTGGAGCGCCATAAAGACGGAGCTCGGCATCAAATCGCACGCGGCTTTTGCGAAACTTCTCCTGGACCGGTAAGTTCAAAAGGTTTGAGGCTTTTTCCAATGGCTGAAACATACACGTCGACCCTAAGTAAACACAAACCGAGTCATCTTTAACAACATCAAAACGGTGCGCTTTAAAATAGCTTATTCCAGTAGTTTTCCGTGTTTATTGATAGGCAGTTTTGAAATGCGGGTCCACGCTCCGTGAACACAGAGTCACGTGACTGGCCTACTTTATACTGTAGTCTGCAGGTAAATAAACACGGTGAAATCAACAGGAGAAGAATCTCTAAGAGGACATTTAGGTGGAAATATAAAACAAAATCTGCAGCTTGGAAAGACAAAGGTGGAGTAAAGACCGGTGTCGAGGATAAACATCAGGGATGTAAAGATGGAGCTCCTCTAAACCTCTGCTGGACCTGTAAGTTTATATTTCTCTTTAAGTCCAGACTCAGCAGGTTACATCAGTCTGTAAGAAGCCTGTTATTATAGATTGTTATAGAGACCATATGGACATATTTCACAAAGAAAAATGAGCATAAAAACTACAGACACATTAAAATAATTATTGAAGTTCTTTCTTTATGTTTCCTCAAACATGTTGACATATATCACTTCAACTGTTTCTGTAGGTAAACAAACTCACGGGACATTTAAAAGCTGTTTGCACATTTTTTAGTTTAAGGAAACATCGCAGACAAACTCATCTATGAGATTTAAAAATCGTGGCAATTTTTCCATTATGTTAAAAACATTTTGTTCTCTGATTACGATATGAATCTAGTTCCTTAGTTAAAACTCTTCTGTCTTTCCTTCGCTCCACAGTGAATCATTTGTTTTGGTTTGAAGTTTTTTTCAGACTGAATTAGAAAAGAATCGAGGAACTCAGCAGGAACCTGATCTGTGCTCTTCAACTGAGTCTTGGTGAGAGTAAATCTGATTTACCGTGTCAAATTTTTATTTTTATTTTTAAAATTTTTGGCACTTGGTTCGTTGATTGTAACAGGTTTTATGTTGCTTAGAAAACTCCAACATTTTTGCCTAAATGAAATGCACTGCTCTGGGTTTGTTTAGTGAAAGCGTTCACTCAGATGATGAGTTTCTGACGAGTTCATTCGCTGAAGAAGAACAGGAGATGGCTCAGTCGCCCATACCTGGACAGGTAAATCAAAACCTGATATTTTTTAAGAAATTGAACACAATTCATCTATTAATGGATCCATAATTTAAATCTATTAAAGAGTAACTTACCCCAAAATTAACTTTTTTAGCTGATAAACTGTCTAGAATGTGTCTAAAATGTTATATAGTACTGTTTCTGTGCTTTGAATGCAACAAAACAAAAGTGAAAGTTAAGATTTAAATAAGTAATCGGTGAAATTACAAATCCTCAAGAAAAAAAGACTTAAAGAGTAACTTACCCCAAAATTAACTTTTTTTAGCTGATAAACTGTCTAGAATGTGTCTAAAATGTTATATAGTACTGTTTGTCATTTTGCAGGTATACAGACATATAGAGCAATCTCACTGATTTTTTCAAGTCTTACGGATATTTTAAAAACCTCATTTTCAAATTTATCTAACAT